GAAGGAAGGAAGGAAGGAAGGAAGGAAGGAAGGAAGGAAGGAAGGAAGGAAGACAAGGCCAGGTAGGTAGAATCCTAAGATGACAACAAGATTTCTAGCTATCGGTGTACATGCCTAGTATAGTATTATTTCTGTGTTTATGTTCAAAAGTTTTTTTCTAATAAAATACTTCATAGTACCTTCAACGAAAATTGGTGGAATTTCTTTATTTTTTAATATTTATTTATTTATTATGTATACAATATTTTGTCTGTGTGTATGCCTGAAGGCCAGAAGAGGGCGCCAGACCTCACTGCAGATGGTTGTGAGCCACCATGTGGTTGCTGGGAATTGAACTCAGGACCTTTGGTAGAGCAGTCAGTGCTCTTAACCGCTGAGCCATCTTTCCAGCCCCTGGAATTTATTTAAAGAAGAAATAATTCATTTTAGAGCATGTTTTCAGAGACTTGAATTTCAGCAAGTGCATCTGGCTAATGTCAATCACCATGTCAGACCCTGATGAAATGTTATAATAGGGCTGGCCATGTGCTCTGATTTTTAGGAGGTTTATTTCCTTATTTTGAATGCCATTCTTTGGAACAATTCAATACTACACATCAACAAATTTTATAACTGAAGAGAAAAACGTTGCTAAAAGTTATGTAATCTGCACAGAGCCTATGGTAGGAAACATGCAATGCTCCAAATGATCATCTGTGTGACATTAGATGGGTTTAATGCATTTTAGAGCAGATGTACCCTACCTTGCTTGTCATTCTGCACCTGTATCTCTCTGCAGCAATGCTGTATATCTACCCAGTTTTCCTTTCCAGAGAAGAACCTAAGTTTCAGGCATCTACCAATGATACAAACCCAGGAGCTGTATTTCAGTTATGATCAGTGAATGATTACTTTTGCAAATTTGAACTTTTTTTTCCAATCAAAGTGGATGTCAAATACCCCAGAGGGAATTATAGACGTTCATCTAGAACAGATCAAAAATTCAGTTGGTTCATATTTTGAAAGGAATCAGGAAAAGTAAGGTATCTTGGGACAAAGCTAACAGTGTATTCAATAACACAACAGTTCAAATATATAAAACGATGCAAAACAAAGTTTGGAAATATCAGTCTCACAGCATTGTGGACTTGTGTGTCGAGTATTCTGACTCCAAGATTGTAAATCTGGTCTCTGTGCTCAGGACTCTTGATAGGACAAGCAGGGAACTCTGATGGTTAACTCACAGCCCAGAAATCAGATGAAGGAGCATTTGATGCCTTTACCGAAATTTTTCGACTTTTTACCAAAAATTCCTGAGATAATTCTAAATTCAAGGTAATCAAAAGATTTGTCACATAAGTTTCTTCTGAATCACACTGACTTGCTTTGTCTTCTGGCTCTTTCTCTTAAGAATGTATCTAAGCAACTGACAATAACCTGAACCCGGACTAAGGGACCCACTTTTAATATGTAAATGTGCTGCTTTTATAAATTTTTTGGACAGAAAAAAATGTCAGATTTTCTTTTAAAAACCATATGTTCTTACATTTTTTGATATCTGAAATCGGCAGCTTGCCAGAAATATTCCTAGTGCATTGCCAGACTACCCCAGAAAGGTGTCCCAAGAAGTCTGTTCTGATTACTGAAGATGTTGAGCTAGTCTTGACTTCAAACAGTAGATATTTCCACACTTTAGTGGTATATGACAGCTCTATCCATTCCACAATGTCAAATTCTTTGGTTTTGGCCATCGTGTACTTATGCATTTCTGGCTAAGGAAGTAGAGAAGCCTAATTTGATTTTGGAGCCAAAAGTTTTTAGGCCTCGTTCCTTTGGAACTTGGACTGGACAATATTGGCAGTCTATAAAGGCTAGGACAGATCAAGTAGTCACACATAACTAACTGACTCCGCCGAGCACATTCAGAGAGAAAGATCATGCCTCCACATTGGATAACCACTCTCCAAGGCAGACTGACAACACCCTGAATTCAATCTCCCTTAAATAAACACACAAGGAAAGCACAGCTTTAACATACCTTCAGGCTGTTCTCTCCACTGCTGTCTGATTGGTTTTCGTGCCATAGGCCAGACTGCAGATGCTGTCATTACTGTTGTTCTTACTTAGGTCTGTCTGCTGTCTGCTAACAAGCATTCATATGCTTTGGATCATTAAAGTCACAACCTCCTGTGCCAATCTAGTCCTCTTCATGGGTTTGCTGAAGCTTGGAAGGAATGATGCTGTTTTTGTTTCCTTTCCATCCCTTTAGGACCTCTGGACAGGGTCATTTTGGAGGTCTAAATATCACAGCATCCGCCTTCGGCCCCATTGAACATAAGATTTGTGTTCCTATTCAGCTCGCTCTTTCTGCTTTATTTTCAATGCGAACTGAATGTCGTGTACTGGAACTGTAACAGACAACACGGCTGCAGCGACAGCCATGTCCTGGTGCCCTGCTATGTACCAGCCTGTAGTACTTAAACCCATGCTAAATGTCCTCTGACAGACTCCAGGTGCTCAGAATTGTTACAATCCAACTCATTGCGTTGTTGGAACTCGTCACTTGGATCTTGGAGAATTCACTCCTTTTGTCTCACTGTGGGTGGCAGGTTGAATAAACATGTTCGTCTCCATGTACAAGGCTGCATGTGTCCATGGGTATGATCAGGGGTGGAGAGACAAGTTTCTCTTTCATGGAAGGCACAGAGGACAGATACCGCACAGACAGGAAGGAAAAAAAAAAACCTGTCACTTGGAGTATTATGCAGGCTGCCCATCTAAACCCATCATTGCCTGGCACCTCCACACTAAGGGCAAGGATCCAGCCAACTTGTGAGTGGGCACCAGGCCATCTGAGCAGATGGGCATGGAAGTCGGCAGCCAGTAGACCATGTATGTGCATCAATGGAGGGTGTTGAGGGCACGATTCCCAGAGGAGAATGTCCTAACAGCTGTCTGGCCTGAGCCAAAATACTTACAACCAAGGAAAAGCGCCATCCTTCAATCCTGCTGAGTCGGATTAACCTTCAAAACTGAAGCTTCTTTTTCAGCAGCAGAAGGTGAGTTGGGGGGGGGGTCTCTAGGAACCTCAGAGAATCAGTGAAGAAAGCAACCTGGCAAGGTGTAATTATGAGGTAGCAACTAAAGATGCGGAAGGCATTCATTCAGTGTGCTTATTTTGCTCACTTGGCAGAAAGTTTTACTTCTTGAAAGATGGTTGTAGCTATTCAAATCTTTGCCTCCCACCATATTTGTAAAAATGGCTCTCAAAACAGACAGGCCACTTTCTCTAAGGCCTTATTCACCTTTAAATTAAGAAATAAAGATTTAGGAAAAAGATGTCACTAGACAGTGGAAAGCGGAGAGCAGGTAGTTTTTTTGTGCAGCTTTGCACACCGCGGATGAAAGGTCACACATAATGTAGCACACTTTTCCAAAACCAAAAGAGTTTCTTTGTTAGTGATCAAAATAAACTTGCAGAAGTAAAAAAGAAAACTTGGTTTTTTAACCTAGGCCCTTCTGGAAAGTGAAAGAATTTTTAAAATTTGAAACTGAGCCTGATTTAATTTGTTAAGGATTTCATGCATTTAGATATCACGAAATCAGATGTAGACCGTGTCTGCACAAAATAGCAAAACAGGAACTTAACAATAGCATGTCTCATCTGGGTAAACATGACTAGAGTCCCATAAAAATCCTGATCTTCAATATTCTTTATTTATTTTGTATTTTAAACTTTATGAGGTGTTTATGAAATAATTATCTTAGTATTATTTTCTGTTGGCTTCAATCTTTTCATTTAAAAGATTCCTAGCTTACACTTGTGGGGGAAATGTAAGTTTTGTTCAAGTGTTCCAGAATATGTGCCCATTGTTTAATAATCTACTCTTTGAACTATCTCCTTTTGTCTCTATCAGACTGAGTATGTCTTTTGTCAAGAGTAAAGGGGATGAGTTTATTTTATTTGCTCTTGGCAACAATCAAAATTGTGACTTAAATAAACCCTGTACTGCTCTTAATAGTGTCATA